ATTATGAGTGGGGTGCAATTCGTATAGGAAATCGAATGGTTTCGAGTGCAATTTAAAAAAAATCAGCACGAGTGAAGATTAAAAATTAATTAAAAATTAAGCTTCATGGGATAAGTATGACCATTAATAGTATGACCATCAATTTTTTTAAAATCAAATACAAATTCTCAATTCATGGCGTTCGTATGATGAAGGGAAATTTGCTGCTTTTTTTTGTTGTTAAAAATACTACCAATAATAATGATGATAAAAGACATTGATTGTAAATGTAAATAGCTTTTTTTAGCTTTTTTTTAGCATGTGATTTCAACTTTTTGCACTGTGTTTTCACGTTTTTGCACTGTGATTTGGAAAAAAATACCGACTAGCACCAATAATCAGAATCGAAGATTTTCGATGGTCATGTTGTTAGGTCTGAAATCATACCAGTGATTCAGTACAACATTGCACGACCGCCGGTGCAGCGCAAGAGCAATTTGTTAATCACAAGTTTGAACTCAGACCAAAATGGCACGACACGAAGTTCTGTTACCAATTGATTATATCCATTTTGCAATATTTTCTGGTAAATGCCAGCTAAACAGCATTCTCTCTGACTAACGCATGCCGACAGAGAAGCAGTCGGTCAAAACATGCCTACAGTCAATTCAAAAAACGTTGTCGTCGACTGGCTCAAGCCTACGCGACTGGACCGAAAGAAATATGGGTAAAAATCACTGAAGACGTTTAAATATTCGTTCTGAATTAATTGTTCCTGCTAGTAATAAGATAATAATGGCTAGAAACCAATCCATCAAATGCATGTCTTTGGGTTTAGGGAAAGAAGAACAAAGCAGTTATGATTCAGTTCACAATTTCGAAAATATGAAGGCATTAAAAAAACGTCTCCTTCAACACTTCCCGCTCGCCTACGAACTTTCGTGCTGTAAACCAGGCATAACTAGTCAGATAAAATTATGCAGTCAACTCGGCTTCAATGATTACTACCCATAGTTCCTTTCGGTCCAGTCGCGTAGGCTTGAGTTGCTCGACGACAACATTTTTGAATTGACTGTATACATGACATTGAACTAACGAGCAAATAATTCTTATTTTCAAACCTAATCATCACAGTACGAAGGATTATTTTTTGTTTTGAACTAAAAATATTATGTGGAGGTGCATTGTTAAGAAGTTTATTTGTACAATTTATAACTAAAAAAAAGTGATAGTTGCTACTGATCTTTTTCTTTTTATCAATATATTTCATAATTTTCCTAAAGCACAAAACTGAATTTTGCCTAATTGTTGATTCTACTTTCATTTTAAAGCAGAACAACTTGTCCCGGCAAAAATGATTTCCCAAAGAGCAAATGCTCACTTACAGTTCTTTGTTAATTTATGTTCGTTTTGTTTTCAAACGAAGTTCAAATGAAGTTTGTTTAGGCCTTCATATGTCCTTTGAAAATCCACAAAGTTCAGAAAATCTTCTTCTTTATAAGAAACGTTCTTTTAGGGGCGATGATTTCCGCCTGAGTTTCACAGTAAAATGAAATGCAAACAACTTTAAATAAACAATCTACAAGAATCCACAACTAGATGTGCCCTTCAGGCCCGTAGCGGGGGGAGGGGCCAGGGGGGCCTGCCCCCCCCCCCCCCCCAATAATTTCACAGTTTGTTTTTTAAGTAAACTTCCAAATAAATTTCAAACACTATTATCTTAAAATTGATAGAGGCGACTCATTTTTCCGAAAAAAGTTCACATAGTTGGCATTTGTCAATGATGAAAACTCAAAACAAGACATGCGGAAAAGCACTTACTTGAAAGAAACCTCTCAAGTGCTTCATATAATTTGCATTTAGGCTTTGGCTAAACGAGGAAACAAGTTTCCAGAAACATGTTTCCCGCGCGCATGTTCCCCGATGATTCCAAGTTTAGCCACATGCGAAACATTGTTGCATGCAACAAATTTTGCTTCCAAGAGGCAAAAATGTTTCTGCTGTGCGGCAGAAACATGTCATGCTTCCAAGACGCATGAGAACAATGTTTCCCAATGTTTCCTCGTTTAGCCACGAAAGTCAACATTCTAAAAGTTCGTTACTTAGCAACGCTAGCTCTATCTTGAAAGTGCGCATGCGCTAACCGATATTGAGCAAATATGTTTCCCGATGTTTCCTGACAGTTTTGCCACCTTTGGAAACATTTAAGGAAACATGTCTCCTCGTTTAGCCAGGGCCTTAGAAATTCGTGTCTGAACTTTGTCCATTACATTTTCGGCTTCTTTTATTAAATCACCTCAGACTTAATTAAAGGTAACTGGTTCTTTTTATTTAAAGTCAGCTGTGTGCTTCATATACATATGTTGAATTTCTATTCTTTGTTTGTACATACGCTGACATGATATTATCGAATAGAGATATTCACATGTTTGATGCTGGAGGTCTTTTGCCCATAAAATAAAGAATTATTATTATTAATTATTTATGCTGTTTTGTAAATTTGATAAAAGTTAATACGGTCATGTGGGGCGTGGCAAAACGAGCCCCCCTCCCCAATAACTTTACCCCTGCTACGGGCATTTGATCATTTTCTGACGGTTTTTCATTAAAATACTACTACCAACTTACTGTAGCAGTTTCTTTAAAATTATGCTTCCGATAATTTCACTTGTTCAGCAGGTATTTATACATGATTTGTACGACTTTTTACGCTAAAAATGGCTCCAAAAATCTTTAAAAGCTTTTTTCCCCAGCAATGGCGGCTCTTTCCCACAATTGTTTTCATCATTAAAGGTGCTGAGTTCAACATTCAAATGGTTCCTTGTTTCCTTGACATGATTGGTCAGAAAGTTTAAATGTCTGTTTTGTCATCGGCTCAATTCAGATGATGAGAAAAAATAGTGCAAATTGCAGAAATAGTGCAATTAATGCTTTAATCATATCCTTTTTGTAATCACTACCAAGTCCTGCAATGATGGGTTCAAAGGAGTGCGATTAATTCCCAAATCGCATCATTAGGAACTCTTAATCGCATCCTTTTGAGCTTTTAATCGCATCTTTTTGAAAGAACCAATCACAGAACAGAATTCTTATATTCAGCCAATCAGAGAAGATAATGATTAGCATTATTTATGAATATTTAATGATTTGCTGATCTTGCACTCTTTATTGTGTCTTATTCTTGTGTATGATTACAAAAAGGATATGATTAAGTTGTAACTGAACTTCGTGTCGTACAATTTTGGACCAAAATCATACTTGTGCTTAACAAATTGCACTCCAACTACGCGGTCGTGCAATTTTGTAATCACTCGTATGATTTTGGTCCAAATTGCCCTCCACTCAGTTCAATTACCATCATAAATCTCATCATTTTTTAACCAATGAGATTACAGGATTTGGCAATGATAACAACGTGGATATAATAAGTATAGTGTTTAATAAACGAGCAGAAGTGTTTTATCAGGATTTTAAAACACGAGGTGTAGCCGAGTGTTTTTAGACTTGATAAAACACGATCTGCGAGTTTATTGACGGCTTAAAAAACTCATGATGTATGTTCTCATATTGTACTGAATTCTTTACGAAATGAGCCAAGTTTGATAGAGAAAATCCAAGTTAAAGTTTATGCAAATGAAGACGAATCT